CTCTCTCTCTGCCTGCCTCTCTGCCTACTTGTGATCTCTGTCTGTCAAATAAATAAATAAAATTAAAAAAAAAAAAAATATATATATATATATATATATATTCAAGAAGAGAAATTAAAGATATATATATCAATCAAGTAATATACCATGTTATAGAATTGGAAGTCTCATATTGCTGAGATTATGGGGGTAAGTAAATGGAACACATGCTTAACTGCAATCCCAATCAAAATCCCAGGAAGATTATTTTTTGTAGAAATTGATTGGAAAACAAGGGCACCACTGAAATTCAGTGGGAAAGACAGTCTTGTCAATAAGTGGGACTAGAGGGGCGCCTGGGTGGCTCAGTGGGTTAAAACCTCTGCCTTCAGCTCAGGTCATGATCCCAGGGACCTGGGATCAAGCCCCGCATCGGGCTCTCTGCTCGGCAGGGAGCCTGCTTCCGCCTCTCTCTCTGCCTGCCTCTCTGCCTACTTGTGATCTCTGTCTGTCAAATAAATAAATAAAATCTTTAAAAAAAAAATAATGTAAGGGTGAGATGAAGCAGGGCGTTATAGATAAAACAACATTAGCCAGGAACTGATAATGTTAAAACTTTTTTGTAGTATAGCTTCCGTCTACTTCTCTGTATGTTTGAAGTTTCTAATATGTTTGAATTTATTTATATTTTTAATTAAATGTTGGAAATGACATTTCTAATCTAAACCTTTCTTTTTATAAGGAATTCTTTTTATAATGTCTCATATATGAATGCCTAGTTTCTGCTAGAACACTGTCACTGCTTAGCAACTGACTACTTTTTAGACTATTTCATTTTTAGAAGTCTTGAAATTATAAGTATTTTTTCAATGTATTGAGGCAAATTCTTCTCCCTATAATTTTTACCCATTGGGTCTAGTTTTGTATTCTCAAGTAATAGAAAATAAAATACCATGGTCATCTCTAAGAAACTTAAAGTATTTGATTGTAATTATCATTTTTCTTTTTTGAGTCTTAAATTCCTAATGTTTTCTGTCATTATAATCTTGGTTGATTTCTCCTGAATATTATTTAGTTTTTCAGTGTTCTTTTCAAATATGACCCTCAAAACTGAACATATCACTATACCCCAAATGTGATTTTGCTAGGACTTCTCTTATTCTGCACCCACGCCCCATCCTCCACTTTTTAAATAGTTGGTATTACCTACCTGTTCTAAGACAGATTAAGATTAGGTACCTAGGGTACCTGGGTGGCTCAGTTGGTTGAGTGACTGCCTTCAGCTCAGGTCATGATCCCGGAGTCCTGGGATCGAGTCCCACATCTGGCTCTCAGCTCCATGGGGAGTCTGCTTCTCCCTCTGACCTTCTCAAGCTCTCTCTCACTCTCTCTCTCAAATAAATAAATAAAGTCTTAAACAAACAAACAAACAAGATTAGGTACCCAAAGTTAGGAACTATAATCATAAAACCAGAAGAAATTTCAAGTGTTCCCATAAAATAAAGCTAGCCAAGCCCCGTGCTTTTTGTTAAGACTGATATTTATTTCTTGGGATTGAGTTTCTGTTGTGGCCCTTGGTAGCTTCATTTTGGTGGGGAATTGAAGAACAACTGATCATTGTTTCTTTCTCACCATGAAATAACTTTTTATTTATGCGCAATTAAGCTTATCACTATTTTTTAGCATGGTATACCTCGGCTTTTTATTTCTCACTGAATCTCTTACCTTATTTTTCGCTTTTATTCTCTCTTTATATTGCAAGTTTTCCAGCTTTTTCAACCTGGAAATAATAGTTCATTTTGTGATTAAGAAAGAGTTAAACAATGTGAAATCACCTGATAAGTTTTCTGTAATCTATCACTGAAAAACTAATGTTTAAGTTTGGCTCTTTGGCTGCAAAAATTTGTTTTATTTTAGGAATATGCACGGGATAATAAAGACAGATCAGAAACTCACACAAATCTAAACTCCCTTAAGGAGTGTGTGGCCAGACATTTTTTCTAGATCTCCGGTAGCTCCATTGATCACACAGCATAGGATCTTTCATCTTCCCACTAATATTTAATCACTAATTTGTTTGATTCGGTCATCCTCAAAGGGTGACCGACCTTTCCTCATTGTCTGAGGACATGAGACCTTCAGTGCTAAATCTGGACAGTTCCAGGAAAAGTGGCAGAGTTGGTTGCCTTGTCTATACATAGGCTTCTCCCTTATTTGCTTAATTTTCTACTAACTCGTATTCTTATCATCACAGCTCTGAAACTTTGGCATACATAGGCTCCTTTAGCCTCTTTTCTCCAGCTTTGGACCTTTAGGTTCATTTCTGTCTCTGACTTTTCATACTTCCTAGTTCATTATGTAAGATAAGGAATCTTCACTGGCCCAGCCTGCCTTCTTGAGGAAGATCCATGTTACTGGCAAGCCTATAGCTTGGGATGCCCACTTAATAATAATTTGATTTGTAACATCTCCCTCTTTTCTGTGTTTTTGTTTAATGCTTATTAACATTCACTTTGGTGCTTGCAAAAGTTTCCTGTGGCTGCTGTAACAGATTACCTCAAACTTACTGGCTTGGAAGGACAAATTTCTTTTCTCGAAGTTCTGGAGGCCAGAAGTCCAAAATCAGTTTCACTGAGCCAGAATCAAGGTGTCAGCAGAGCCTCTGCCACAGATTCTAGGATAAAATTTTTTCCTTGACTCTTCCAGTTTTTGGTGTCTGCTGCATTCCTTTTCTTGTGGCTACATCATACCAATCCCTGCTTCCATCTTTACCTTACCTTCTCTTCTTCTGTAGGCCAGATCTTCTTCTGCCTCTTTCTCATAAGGACAGTTGGGATGGCATTTAGGGCCCCGGTGGATAGCCCAAGATTATCTCCTCATCTCAAGATCCTTAACTTAATGATATCTGCAAAGACTCTTTTTCCTTATAGAGTAACATTTACAGGTTTCAGGGATTAGGACCTGGTGTCTTTGGGTGTCCATTATTTAGTCTGTTACCGTCTTCATAGCTGGTCCTTGAAAGGGCCTTCAGGTTGAGGCTTGATGAAGGGTTATGGTAATAACAGAGAAATGGAAAGACTATAATGTATATTCCAAATGCTGGATCAGTTGAAATATCCTGCTTAAGGGACTAAAATCAATTTGTGACTCTAATAGAGGTTTGGAGTTGTGGGAGATGAACATTATATATCCTTATTTCATATCTGTTACGGTAGGTATTTTGAATCCTCAGTCACATTGTGCAGGGCAATAACATTCACCATACTTGGTAATGAGTAAAAGCAGGCATATGTGTGGCTCTGTATTTTTCATAACCTCAGCTGCACATGGATCTCTTTTTGCAATATGATTATCTGTATCTTGACTCCTTTAGCCACTCTGCTAACCAAATTTAGAAGTCTTCCTCTTAGCAGAATAAAGAATAATGTTTCAAGCTGATTTCTCTGGCTGGAGGTGTAGGCCTTTAAAGGTTTTATTTATTTATTCGACAGAGAGAGATCACAAGTAGGCAGAGCAGCTGGCAGAGAGAGAGGGGGAAGCAGGCTCCCCGCTGAGCAGAGAGCCCGATGTGGGACTCGATCCCAGGACCCTGAGACCATGACTAAGCTGCAGGCAGAGGCTTAACCCACTGAGCCACCCAGGCACCCTGGAGGTGTAGATCTTTGAAAGCAAGGGCAGAACAGAGGTGATTTACTGTAAGGAAACTGTGCTGGTAGTGAGAATGTTTTTATCCCTACCTCACTATTAGTAAAAATCAAGGTGTTTGTTATTTATATCTGGAAATCGTGGTCATGATTTGCCTTTAAGGGAGAATTGATATCATTAAACTTTTACTGGATGGGTTAGAACTGGTCCTGGTTTTGCCATAATTTTACTGAGTAGTATAGGGATATACTTTTTTTCCACATGATGTAGGGCTCAGCCTAAAAATGGTACTTTGTTTATTTCTGTATTTTCTTTAAGGGAACATTCTGTGCAGATTTGTGAAAAAAAATAGTTTTTGCTTCTCTGAAAAAGGAATCAAAATAGATGCTTAATGAAATTACTAGGTAGATAGAAGGAATGAACACAAAGTCAGCATATTTTATATTAATACTTATTATCGGCTGTTATTTCAAGTACTTGAAACAAATGGGTTGAGATGTTTGAGTTTGTGTTCTGAGTTAATAGAAAGGCTTCCTGGAAGAAGGGGGATTTGAGAAAAAACTAAATAGCTACAGTCTTCAAATGTTAGGGGTGAAGAAGGAATTCTTGTAAATAGGAAAACAATTTTAGAGGGACGAGGAATGGAGTCTTCTAGCAAGGAGTGATAAAAGTGATTAGGCATGCAGGGACTAATTGAAGAAATAACTTCTTATTGAGAAGGTGAATGGAAGGTAAGGAATGTATCTGCTCAATCGTTTCTAAGTTTATTAATTCACACTCTCAGGTTCTGATATTTTTGTGTACATTCTTATTAGCACAAAGCATATGTTGGTAAAAAACAATTTGAATAACAGCACTTAAATCAAGTTATGAAATGTAGTATTTTAGAATAATGAAAATCATGTTAAAATACTATCAGCAGACCAAAGTCTCCTTTGCAGGTAATCCTCTTGTCTTAGGTCTGGCATTTTTTAATAATAGGAGCCTTTTTCCCTGTTGGAACACTTAGTGAATTTGGTATTAAAACTTTAGCCTGTTTTTGTTTGCTCTTTTTTCCCTTGTCCTGGCAGCTTAGTCAAACCATGAAACAGGCCCGTCACCGGCTGGCATCCTTTAAGACTGTGAATAAAAAAAATGCGTCAGTGTTTCCAGACAGTAGAAGGAAAACCTCTCCCCAACAAGAGGTAAATTAATTTCTAATAAATTATTTTTAAAAGTACAGGTAAAGATTTATTTATATCTCAACATTATTTAAAGCTGTAAAAGTAATTGGAAATAACCTGAAATATCCAATAGTAGGGAATGGTTAAAAAATTATGGGGTATCCACATATAGCTATTCTAAAAATGATCATGCTTTCATGATATGAAGACAAGGGAAATTGTGATACAAAGTTAAGTGAAAAAAGTAGGATATGAGATTATATACAATATATTCTCAATTAAAAAACTTTATTCAGCCAACATTTATGGAATGATTATAGTTGCCAGGCATTGATCTAGAAGCAGGACTTGGAGTAGAGAAAAGATAGATAAAGATCCCACAAGGAGCTTCTGTGCTTGTAGGGAAGCAAATAATAAACAAGCAAATAAATGTAGAATATAATTTCAAATGATAAGTGTTTAAAAAAATAAAGCAAAATAGATTAGGAGGGAATGCTGTGTGCAGAGACAAAAGCCTGGAAAGAAATGGACCAAGAGGTTAATGCTGATTATTTCTGGTTAGCATTAATACAGGTGATTTTTATTTTTTTCTCTCGGCTTTCTCTATTTTAAAAACTTTACAGAGTGCACATATTTTACTTTATAATCAAGAAAAAAAATACTATTTTTTTAAAAAAAGAAACTCTTCTAATTCAGAATACAAGATTAGAGTGAATAATTGGAACCTAAATGTGGAGCTAGACTTAAAAGGATACTTAAGGTGATACTTGTAAAATGACATTGTTCTGTGCCTATTTATTTCAGTGTTCACAAATTTGGATGCTAAAAACAAACTCATGTATTTTCCTGTGTTTACTCATTTTGGCATTAATTTCAAATTTTGATAGGTAGCACTTAGTAAAATGGACCATTTCATCTTTTTTGCTCTTTTTTTTGGGCCATGATCACCTCTGTCCCTTACTTAGTTCTTAGTTTTGCTTCCTAGATTATATATATCTATTATATTTTTTGTATTCTTTTCCTTAAGTATCTCAACACAACCACCAAAAACGTTTGTGTCTTTTATGTTTGCAGTTTGTGGAATACTAACTTACAATGTCTCCCCTTTCAGTAGTAATTAAGACATAGTTAAATATAAGAAACAGGCGGGCATGGGTGTGTGTGTCATACATGGCATTTTGTCCCAGATACATTCAGTATGGTTACCTTTTTCTAGCATTGCCATGTTATGACTCTCAAGATATTCTTTTGTACCTAAATTCTTCTTCGTGGCTGGTATTTTGGACAATTTTCGGACCTATGGATTTGGCAACTCCAGTTTGTGACATTCGACTGACTCCAGAGTACTGTTAGAATGAAGTGATTGGACACATTCTAGTAAACCAGAAAAAAAGAGTTATCAGATCCTAGAGACTCATATTTTATATTGTGTGAAACATGTTCAAACCTTTTAGTTGATGTTTTTCCAGAAAAAGTACTGTTTACAGGTTTGACTGAAATAATCATTCAGTAGAAGGGAAAAGGATTAAGTCTGAGATAACATCCTGTATAAACCAGTTTTATACATCAAAGATGCCATTTGAATCTAATTCATTATGATGATGGTGATGATGAATTCAGACTGACTGCTGCTTCCAAAGAATGCATGTGTATTTTTCAACTAAGACATTGGAAATACCTATTCCATAGAAATGAGAATGATAAAAGAAATTAGTGTAATTTTTTGTATTTCTTATATCAAGTATGTGGTCTTTCCCTCAAATCTGAACAGTTTTCTGCCCCCCCCCCCCCAGTTGTGTGAAGTGGAAATCTGCCAGTCAGAAAGGACATAATCTATAACCCAGTTGAACTCCGGTTTCATTTCCTTGTTAGACTTATTTTTACTGACCTTAGAATCTGTCTGGTTGTTATTGTTATTCCAGATTTAGAGATACAAATAGAAGATATATTTGCTTGCACACTGTCAGTTCACCAAGACAAAATCATAAGCCTCTTAAAATTGATCCTGGCTGGGATAGGAACAAATTGTCATTTATAAAGTTCATATATTCTAGCAGCCTATTTCACTCCATGTTCCTGTGTGATTTGTTTGTAAATCTGAAGTAGAATTCGACCACTTGTTTTTCTTTATTCTATATTAAGCCATCCTCATCTGTTAAGATCATTCCAGATCTTTCACAAAAACTCAACTTAGTATCATGAGCATGTTGCTTTCTCTAGACCATCTATATTTGTATTATTTTTTTTCAGAAAGCACTTTGTAGGAAACCATCATCCCTCAAGATAAATACAGGAACAAGAAGACAGTTGACCTTTCATGGTCCGTCAAGGTCTTTGGTCTTTTAACTACTTTGCATTACCAGAAATTTATAGAAAATCAGGGAGCGCAATGTAAAGAATAAAGGGAGGGGCGCCTGGGTGGCTGCATTGTTAAGCCTCTGCCTCCGGCTCAGGTCATGATCCCAGGGTCCTAGGATCAAGCCCTGCATCCCTACTTCTGGGTCCCTGCTTGGCAGGAAGCCTGCTTCTCCCTCTCCCACTCCCCCTGCTTGTGTTCTCTGTCACTGTGTCTCTCTCTGTCAAATAAATAAATAAAATCTTTAAGAAAATAAAAAATTCTTTAAAAAAGGGAAAAAAATGGCTTGTTAGAGCTGTCCACAGCTAATTAAGTCTGGGTTTAAGGGTTAAGATTCTAATGTCCAGTATTTTTTTTCCTAACAGTTCTATTGGGATATAATTTATATACCACACAGTTTACCCATTTGAAGTATACGTTTTGGGGGCGCCTGGGTGGCTCAGTGGGTTAAGCCTCTGCCTTCGGCTTGGGTCATGATCCCTGGGATTGAGCCCCATATCGGGCTCCCTGCTTGGCGGGAAGCCTGCTTCCCCGTCTCTCTTCCCGTTCACTCCCCCTGCTTATGTTCCCTCTCTCGCTGTGTCTCTCTCTGTCAAATAAATAACTAAAATCTAAAAAAAAAAATATATATACGTTTTGTATTGCATGAAGCACTGGGTGTGGTGCATAAACACTGAATCTTGGAACACTGAAAAAAATAAAGTATAGATTTCAGTGGTTTTTAGTATATTCACCAGTTTGTACAATTGTCAACATAATCTAATTTAGAACACTTTCTTCGCCCCTAAAAAAAAATCCTATTCCCATTAGCTGTCACTTCCCATTCCCTCCTTTCCCTATGCCCCATCCTAAGCAACCACTAACCTACTTGCTGTCTGTATAGATTTGCTTATTCTGGACATTTCATCTAAATGGAATCATATAATATACGGTCTTTTGTGACTGGCTTCTTTCACTTTGCATGTTTTCATTATGTTGTAGAATGTATCAGTACTTCATTCCTTTTCATTCCCAAATAATATTCCTTTTATGGCTATATCACGTTTGGTATATGCATTCATCAGTTAGTTGATGGACTTCTAGGCTTTTGTGAATGACTGCGACAAACACTTATAAACGTGTTGTGTGGACATTCATTTCTTTAGTAATGGAATTTTGGGATCCTAGGCTAACTCTATGTTTAATATTTTGAGGAACTGCCAAGCTGTTTTCCATCAGCAATACATGTGGATCCCAATTCCCCACATCCTCACCAATACTTATTATTGTCCATCTTTTTTATTATAACCATCCTACTGATGTGAGGTGATATCTCACTGTACTTTCGATTTGTGTTTTCCTGATGACTTATGATCTTGAGTATCTTTTCACGTACTTATTCACCCATTTATATATCTCTTATGGAGATAATGTCTATTCAGATGTGTCCATTTTTTAATTGGGGTATTTGGTTTTTTTATTACTGAGTTATAAGTGTTCTTTATATATTCTGGATACATGTCCCTTATCAGATACACATGATGTGCAAATATTTTTTCCCATTCTGTAGGTTGTCATTTCACTTTCTTAATGCTATTATTTATATAAAATTTTTAATTCTGGTGTTGTTTATTTTTTCTTGTGTTGCTTGTGCTTTTGATGTAGTATCTAGTAAATCATTGCTTAATCTAAAGTCATCAATAATTTCTGCTATGTGTCCTAAAAATTTTATAATTTTAGTTCTTACATTTAAGCCTATAACCCATTTTGAGTAAATTTTTATATGTGGTGAAGAAGTGTTTTAATTTAATTCTTTTCCATGTAGATATCCACTTGTCCCAGTACCATTTGTGGAAAACTATTCTTTTTCCATTGAATTTTCTTGCCGCTCTTGTTGAAAACCAGTTGACTGAGAGTTTATCGATGTCTTAATATTATTTTCTGAGATCCATGAACATGGGATTGGGATGTCTTTCCATTTATTTAGATCTTTTTAAATTTCTTTCAACAGTGTTTTATAGTTTTCATTATATAGTCTTATGCTTCTTTTGTAATGTCCTGTTTTTATAATATTTGATTATATTGACCTACCAAATTATATTAATAGTGTGCTGAATCCCAGGATTTTATTGTAATCACATTGTTTCTACCTGTAATAGATCCTTTTTTTCATTGTTGATTGTGTCGTTTTGTAGGAACCTGACTCTGAGGAATCTTCATCTATTATGACAGATAAGGAGACAGAAAATTTGTTTTGGGAAGACCAGCATTCTCTCCTTTCTGAAGACAGGGACAAACCTTTCAGCAGAGTTCAGGTAAAGCAGAGTGGAAGGAGATTGTATAATAGAAGTTAAACTAAGTATGATTTGGGTTGCCATATTGTACTAGTTTGGGAAAATAGGTTTAGGTTCTGTTAAGTTGAGCAAAGATGAAAATTTCCTGTTTTATTCTAGTAATTTGTTTGACTACAGTATCTTTTTTTATTTTTATTTATTTTTATTGTTTTAAAGATTTTGTTTATTTGAAAGAGAGCGACAGAAAGAGAGCATGAGCAAGCACAAGCAGAGGGAGCAGCAGGCAGAGGGAGAGGGAGACGTAGGCTCCCCAGTGGCAGTGAGCCTGACACAGGGCTCAATTCCAGGACCCTGGGATCATGCCCTGAGCCGAAGGCAGACTCTTAACCCACTGAGCCACCCGGGCACCCCTTTGTCTTTTTTTCTAAGATTTTATTTATTTATTTGGAAGAGAGTGAGAAAGAGAGAGAGAGCACAAGACTGACAGAAAAAACATGAGCAGGGGGAGGGGCAGATGGAGAGGGAAAGGCAGGCTCCCCACTAAGGAGGGAGCCTGACACGGGGCTCTCAATTTCAGGACCCTGGGATCATGACCTGAGCTTCAGGCAGACGCTTAACCCACTGAGCTACCTAGGAGCCCCTAACTACCATATCTTTTTGAGATTATTTTAGGAATCTTATGGGAAAACCTAGAGTGTTGCTACTACCTGGCATTCTATGTTTGATGTTTATGTTCACTTTTAGAAAGTACAGTTCAAAAATCCATTATTTGCTGTGATGAAAGAGGAAGAACAAAAGCAATTAGATCTTCAGGGCCTTCAGAATATTCTGCCAGAAGCCCAGGATTATCTTCCAGAAGGCCAAGGTGATCTGCTGGAAGCTGAGGATGATTTGACAGGAGTCCAGAGTGTTGAGCTAGAAGCTGAGAGTGTTGAACCAGAAGCCAAGAGTGTTGAGCCAAAGCTCAGTATCCCAGCTATTGAGCTGGAAAGCCAAGCTGTTGAGCCCAAAGCGCAGCCCATTGAGCCTAAAGCCCAGGCTGTTAAGATAAAAACTCAGGGTATTATGCCAGAAGCCCAGAATATTGAACTAGAAGATGAGAGTATTGTGTCTGAAGTCCAGGATTTGCTACCCAAAGAACAGTGTGTTCTTCCCAAAGACCAGAATATTCTACCCAGATGTCAGGACCAGGACTTTCTACTTAAAGACCAGGATTTTCTACCGAAAGACCAGAATATTCTACCCGAATGCCAGGACCAGCATTTTCCACCCAAAGACCATCACGTGCTCCCCGAAGACCAGAATAATCAATCTAAATTTCAGGACCAGGATTTTCTACTAAAAGACCAGCATCAGCATTTTCTACCCAGAGAGCAGGTAAAACAGAGTGGAAAAGAGATATAATAAGAAGAAATATCTACTTAAATTTTGGAGTGGGATTTGTGAGGACTAAATTGCAGCTGATTTGGAGAGTCATATTTGGAAAAAATAGTTTCCTCATAAATTCCTCAGAAGTCTGGGGTTCTCATTATATGTTAAAGTATTATCAGCAGCACATTACCACTTAATTGACAATTTACTTTTTTTTTATAAGTCTTTATTAGGAAAAATATTTCTAGCAGCCATTATCTGCTTTGACAGCTGAAAGACGGAAAAGGGAGTGGCCCACAAGTGTGCAACAGTATCTTTTACTACTCAGGTTCCAAGTTCAGCCCTCCAGCAGAGATCAGTTAGGCCAAAAATAAGAAGAAAGGGACCAACAGGAAGCAAATTACATAGGGCTATAACTGGGCTTATGTGGAACAGAATATAGTGTTTTCTTTTTTTTCATATCATGTTCAGTTATATTCTGACCTCAGTTAATGCCAGAATTCTCACTGCAGCCTAAAGTATTGATTAAGCTGTCTTTCTTAACTGAACAATTGGTATTTTGTGTTCTTTCTTTAGGAAACCGGTTTGAAGCAGCCAGCATCAATTTTGATAGGCCCAAGAGGGAGAGAGGCATTTCCTCTGGGTGTCCCTCAGGATCTTCCACCCAGGCATCAAGATCAGACTTCCACCAGGGACAAGGTAGAACAGAAAAAAGGAGAGAGACCAACAGGAACTGAATTGTTCAGGGTTTTAGTTTGGAACTTGCAAAGGTTGTTCTCAGCTAGACTTTGCAAATGACAAAAAGTATGGCTTTCTGCTTTATTCCATATTTCACATTGTCTTGAGTTAGAAAAATTACTGTAAGGCCCTCAATAAAGCCTGTAGTATTACTACTATCATATTATTCCTACTGGACAACTTATAATTAGTGTTTTTGTTTTCTTTTAGAAAGTACGCTTCAAGGAGTCATATTCTGATGTGTCAAGTGAAAAAGGAAGAAAAGACTATTCTCTGGCAGGTTATCAGTATCTGCCTCCTAAACTACAGGACCAGACCTTCATGAGAGATCAGGTAGAGCAGAATAAAAAGGAGATAAATAGGAGATAAAGTAACTGGATTTTACATATTCTCAATAATTGGTAACGTGAAATATAGAAATAGGTGCAGAAGACCCTGGTCTGATGAACTCTATCAGTCAAATCAGTTCTGTCATTTAGAAGGTTGATAAATCTCATTCACATTCTTATTGTAGAATCAAACTATTTTAGTTTACTAAGATTATACTACAACTTCTGCTAAAGCCCACATAGTATAACCACAAACACACTGTCCCTATATGAACAGTGTAGGAAGATGTGGCAGATCCTAAATTACTTAACGTATGGGGAGTTTGTCAGACTATTCTGTCCACGGTTTAAGATTAAAAATTCAGGTCTACAGAGTTAAGCGAAAACTGTTGCATCCTCAAAAAAAAAAAAAAAAAAAAGGCATAAAATGAAAGTATTAGGGGCGCCTGGGTGGCTCAGTGGGTTGAAGCCTCTGCCTTCGGCTCAGGTCATGATCCCAGGGTCCTGGGATCGAGCCCCGCATCGGGCTCTCTGCTCAGCGGGGAGTCTGCTTCCCTTCCTCTCTCTCTGCCTGCCTCTCTGCCTACTTGTGATCTCTGTCTGTCAAATAAATTAATTAATTAATTTAAAAAAATGAAAGTATTATATCCTTGTTCAAGTTAAAATGTATCAGATTATCCTCACCTGGTACCATTTCCCTGGAGTTCTCGTTGAAACCTACGATACTATGATTAGCTTGTTGCCCTGGTCAGACAGTTTGCTTTTTTATCTTTATTCCTTTAGAACATGTTTGTCAAGCAACTGCCATCTTTCATGAGAGCAGAGAGAATGAGTGATGAATTGCCTCTCGAGTATCCTCAGTATGTTGAACCTAAAACCCGGGACCGAGCTTCCCCTAGAGAATAGGTAGAGCAGAATACAGGGGGAAGACTTTCCTTCCTAAAAGAGTAACAGAGATGAAATGACTTAAGATTTGGGTTGAAGCTTCTCAAGCTAGTTCAGAGGTAGGCTACATAGAATTAAAGTTTCTAGAGTGAGGCAAAGAGCCTAACATTTTCAGTTATTTCAAAATGTGCCAGACCTAAAGTCTGTCCAGGTGAGAAAGCATATCTGTCGTTTGGGTTGGCCAAAAGACAGGGTTTGTATAATATTGATTGGTTAATAGTAGATCATTCTACATAAACTCACATCCTGGAGCATATTTGACTTTCTGCATTTGGCTTTATAAATACTGAAGAGCTTCTCCTCTTGGCCATCTGAAGCAGTACATCAAACCAAACATTCTGCTCTACCAGCTTGCACACCAGTAATGAGGAAGGATTAAAACAAGCCGTTTCCCGCCACAGAGCTCTCTGAACTTTACCACTGCAAGCTACTGTTTGTGCATGGAGTTAGTGGGGACATCTAGTAGGAGTACTCATAGAAATGACACAAGTTTGTTTCCTGGCTGTACCTTGGGAAAATGCTATCAGCACACAAAAATATTTCTTCCAAGCGTATTATTGAATAAAGAGTTACCCCATGCAAAACAAAACAAAACAAAAAACCAAGGACCAGAATAATCTGGGATTTGCTTTAAAATAGTCTGGGGAAAAGAGTGGGAAAAGAGACAGGTGGAAAAAAATTACTAATTATTGAAGTTTGGGGGATAGGTATCTTGGGATCCATTATACATTTTCGTTGCTACTTTAATTTCTATTTGGAAATTTTGTATTAACACATGCAGGCACACCTGCACACCAGCTCTGTTATGTTATTCTCGCCTAGTATCATTATTTTGGAGTTAGCACTGATGTCATTAGTTGTCACTAATCATTTCTGCTTAGACAGTTTTTTATTTTGTTATTCCTTTAGAGCAAGTATATCAAGCAACCCTCATCTTATGAGAAATGGGAGATTGAAAGAAGAATTCCTTCTGGAGTGCCATCAGTATGTTTCACCCAGTGTTTAAGATCTTGCCTCTCTGGGGAATAAGTAGAGCAGAGTATAGGGAGGAATAAGTAGCAGAGAATAAATTGCTTAGGTTTTGGCTTAAGTTTAACAGGGAAATACAGTAACTACTTACGGGTTTAGTGTTAAGGTCAGTAAATAGTGGGCAGAGCTATCCTGTCCTCGGATTCTGTGATGTTTCATACCATTCTGACCTGTGGAAACTACTTCCGGCCTCTTCACTGAGGCTTTTACCATTGCCTGGGCATGATGCTTCTGCTTTGACAATTGATGTTCAGTGTTGACGTTGTCTTTTAGCACAGGAACTATGGGCAGGCCTTACATAATGTGACAGATGAGAGGTGGAGAAAGGAGTTACTTCCGGAGCGCCATGAATATGTTTTTCAGGATATCTAGGATCCAGGTTCAGCCGGAGAGCAGTAGAGCAGAGCGCGGTGAAAAGTAAGCAGCAGAAAGTAAATCAGTTAGTGTTTGATCTGGGCTTGCCAGAGCTATACTTCTAACAACAGTACTGCCGCCGCTGCTGCTTGTGGTAATGTTCTCTTCTTAATCCTGTTAATAATAGAAGTAACAGCTTGCATTTGGTAAGCACTTTCCAGAACCAGAAGAGTTCTAGAACTTTGTATCCATTGTCTCATTTCTCATTCTCACAGTCATCTGGGGAGATAGATACTGTGATTATCCTTGTTTTATAGATGAAGAAACTTATGACTGCCTTGTGGATACAGTTGAGACCCATAATGGTGGCAAGGAGTGTAATGTCTACTTTTATGCCATAATGTATCAGACTATTGTAATAGACCTATATAGAGTAGTAGGTCAGGGCTATCACTGCAGTCTACAGTATTTTTACTAGCATTATGTCACTGCTCATATACTTTGGTGACTGCTTTTGTGGTTTTTTTTTTAGAGCTTATACTTCAGAAGGCAGCCATCTGTTGGGACAGCTGAAAGATGGCAAGAGGATTTGCTTCTGGATGACCATCAGCATCTGCCAGCCAAGCACCAGAGAGAGGCTTCCGGCAAAAGACAGGTAGAGTATGAGTAATGGAATTTGGATAGGATTGTACGCACATATAGAGCTGGGATTGGTAAGACTGAGCAAAAAACAGATTCTTGTTTTATTTCATAGTGTGTGAAACTTATCCTGACCCAAGATTACTTTAGTGCTCTCGCTGAAACCGAGGATATTGGAAAAATTCTATTTTATATGTATGTTCTTTTATAAGGGGTGTATTTCTGATGGCCATTGTCTTTTATAGCAGGAGAGGGGAAGAAATGAGTGGTTTCTGAGGGAGAGGAGTCAGGAGGCTCTTCCACCCAGTGGCCAGGCCTAGATCTCTGTCAGTAAGCTGTTAGAGCATAAGATGGGATCACCAAGAAATTAGCTGTTCAGAATGTAAGCTGGAGCTTATTCGGGTTATATTGCCTGAGCAATATGTACTGAGCAATGTACTGAGTTAAGATCTGTGGTTTTTCAAGAAAATGCTACAGCAATCTGACCGCCATGGCTTAACTGAAGTCTGGTATATTCCCACTAGAATTTGTCACTGTCCAAGTAATTTCTGTCTTGTGATTTTATGTTATTTTAACAACAGAGCCTTCAGGCAACCGGTGTTGTTAGGATATATAAAAGAGATAAAGAGACATTTCCTCTTGGCTCTTTTATAAGAGCAAAAGAAAAGGAGCATAAAGACAAAGTAGAATTTGGGCTGAGGACTACACTGTAGCTCCTTTGTAATTTTTAGTTTGTTTCTATGAGGTTGGCCTAAAGGTACACTGTCACATTTTATTCTACATTGTCACTTATATATCCTGAAGTGTGCCAAGCTCTTTCCTACCTCAGATCTGTAGCAATGTTTTTTTCCTTTGCCTGGATATTCTTCTCTTTTTTCTTCACAAAGCTGGTCACTTTTCATCCTTCAGGTTTCAACATAAATACCTCCTTGGAAAAGACTGTCCCGACCACCTTATCAAAAATAGGTCTCCTCTGTTTTGTTTTTCTCTATCCTTGCATTCTCTTTCCTTCTCTGTACACAAGACAATTTGTAATAATTCATTGATTTAACATGTTTTCCACTGGTCTGTAAGCTTTATGAGGAGAGGTACCACCCCTGATATGTTTATCAGTGTATCGGCAGCCTGTATAGTACAGTGCCTGGTACCTAATAGTCTCTTGCTAAATACGTTTTGAATTAGTCAATCAATCAGTTGTTTACTGAATGCCTCGTTAGGTGTTAGCCATTGTTTAGGTGCTAAATATCAAAGAGACAGTTGTGAATCAGACACAGAACTCAAATTTCAGACAGTCTAAAGAAGAGAGACTGACACATAAGCAGATAATTATGAAGCAACATAATTAATGGTAGAGGGGGCATAGGGTATTAACTGAGCACAGAAGAAGCATACCTAAGTGACTGCTTGAGGGTGCACTGCCTTGGTTGTCCCTCTGCCATACAAGCCCGATCCCCTGGGACAGTCCTTTCTCCTTGTAGGCTCCTGAGATAATCCAGCCTTATTGGAAAAAAAAAAACATTTTAATAGTGTAGATTTAGATCACCGTCATACTTGGGGCTTATAGTCATAGCTGCTTAGCATTTTTCTTGCTTGCCCTTTGTCAGCTCCCTCTCCTGCGGCCCACACTAATAATAGTAAACCTTAAATACTTTGTAAAGTTCTTGCTACATCCCCATACCCTCAGACTTTCATGAAGAAAATAGAAGCCGTCATGCACTAACTCCCTCAGCCATTTGTTTTTTTGGCATTCTCACCTATTCCTACTATGTCAGAAGAAGAGTTATCTGTCCTTGGACCATGTTCTGGATTCTCTTGCCATCCTTTCTTCTGGGTCCAGTTTTGAATATTATATTGTGAGACTCTGGCTTCTGTTGAAATCCTCTGAAGAATGTTGCATCTTTTGTTTATTTGTTCTAACAGGCAATCAGCCTGGTTAAGTATATATTATAAGTTCTTTCTCACCTTCTGTGAAGAGTGGCTCGAGCGTTAGTTTTCATAGCCTTCATTATATTCCTTTAGGTCCATCCCATGCATGCACAACTCGGGTGATTTGGGGACATATGCCAATTCATACACAGGTTTAAGGAATCCAGTTTTCTAGCTCACTCCTTCTCAGGATGCCCAACCCCTACACTCTCCAGATACCACAGGCCACATTTCCTGGAATCTTTAGTTAAAATCAGTGAGGCGGAGAGGTCCATAGTAAGCTTACTCCTTGCCCAGTGCTGAAAGTCTAGTTTTTCTTACTTTTTTGAAAGCAGAAAATGTTTTCATTTTTATTGAAGCAAAAGTAAACACAAACCAAAAGAAAAAATAACCCAAAATTCCATAAATAACTATCATCAGTCCCTGCTATGTATCATTTTCAGATTGTATTCAGTCTGTTTTTGTTATTCATGGTAGTTATATAAAGTTGTCACATCGCAGTAGTGAATACTAAACCACTGTTCCTAGGGAAGATACAGAGTTCGTTTTTTGCGAGCCCCTGATCATGTTTTGGTCACTCATCAATACCTAACTTTGTTTTATGTGAATTTCTGTTTAAAGACACCTATTTCATACATAATGTTGATTTATTAACATGGACTCAGAGCCAGTAACACTGTAACTCATTCCTGAATGAGCTCATTTCATACATGTATTTTCTCCATAAGGTATCAAAGCCTTCTTAAGAGTACTAGATAGTACTTCAACACTGTGCTTGGGAGCCATTTTATTTTATTTTATTCTGTCTTTTATTTTTATTTCTTTAAAAAAGATGATGTATTTTAAATGGAGGCACCTGGGTGGCTCAGTCATTAAGTGTCTGCCTTTGGCTCGGGTCATGATCTCAGGGTCCTGGGAATGAGTCCTGCATTGGGTTCCCTGTTCAGCGGGAAACCTGCTTCTCCCTCTCCCTGCTGTGTTTCCCTCTCTCTTTGTGTCTCTCCCTGTCAGATAAATAAATAAAATCTTTAAAAAAATACAAAAGATTATGTATTTTAGAGAGAGAGAACAAGAGAGGGAGCCAGGAGAAGGGCAGAAGGAGAGGGAGAGAAATCTGCAGGCAGACTACCTACTGAGCTCAGAGCCTGATGGGATCTGGGACTTTGTCCCAGGACCCTGAGATCATGACCTGAGCTGAAATCAAGAGTTAGATGCTCAACTGACTGAGCCACCCGGGGGTCCTGGGAGTCATTTTAAATAGTGAAATCTCCAGCAAAAAAGCACAAAAGATGCAAAAACCTTGGCACTAAAAAGACCTTGAAAAGAATACCTGTTTACAGTTTGAAGTCTGAAACAAAAAGAGCAGAGCATCCCATTGTTCAGCCTCAGCTGGCAACATGCATATCTGGTGACTCAAATTTGTCACAGCTCTATGTCTGCAAATGACCATAAAAGCATCACAAGTGTTAATTTTGGAATTACAAATAAATAGTAGTAAACAGGCAAATTCACAAGTAAGGAGTATGTAATATTGAGGATTGACTATAATTTATATATTATATAATTAACCTATTTAAAGTGTATGATGCAGTGTTTTTAGTATATTCAAAGGGTTGTGTGAAGTTTGCCACAGTGAATATTAGAACATTTTCTTCATACCCCTAAAGTCCTTACTCATTAGCAGCCAATTCCTTTTTCCTCTACCCCGCAACCCTAGGCAACCATTAACCAATTTTTCTGTCTTATAGAGTTGCCTATTCTGGACATTTCATATAAATGGGATCATTATGGAATATATGGCCTTTCGTGACTGGCTTTTTTCATTTACCATAATGTTTTCAAAGTTCATTGACCTTGTAGCATATAGCAGTACTTTATTCCTATCATTAGATGACATTCCATTTTATGCATATAGCATGTTTTTTCCACTCATCGATTGATGGACGTTTGGATTGTTTCTACTTCTTGGTTGTTATGAATAATGTTGCTATAAATATTAGCATACAAGTTTTTCTGTGGATATGTGTTTTCATTTCTCTTGAGTATATCAAGGAATGGAATTGCTAGGAATGTGGTGACTCTATGTTTAACCTTTTGAGGAACTGTCAAATTATTTTCCAAAGTGGCTGCACTATTTTTTCATTCCTTCTAACAGTGTATGAGGGTTCTAATTTCTTCACATCCTGACCAGCACTTAATGTCTTTTTAATTATAGTTATATTAATGGGTGTGAGGTGGTATCTCATCGTGCTTTTGATTAATATTTTCCTGCTGGTTAATAGCGGGCATCTTTTCATGTGCTCATTGGCTATCTGTATTCTTCGGAAAACTGCTTATTAGGTTATCTGCCCAATTTGTAATTGAGTTATTTGTCTTTTGTTGAGTTTGTGAATTCTTAATATATTCTCCATTCAAGTCCCTTATTACTTACATGATTTACAAATGTTTTCTCCCATTTTGTAGGCTTTTTGTTTTCTTGATGGTTTCCTTTGCAGCACAGAAGTTTTTAGTTTTGAAGACATCTAAGTTAGTTACTTTTTCTTCTGTGGATTATGCTTCTGGTGTCATATCTAAGAAACCACGTAAGGCAGAATCATGAAGGTTTACTCTTATGTGTTCCTCTAAGAATTTTATATCTCTTGCATTTAGGTCTGTGATCCATTTTGAGTTAATTTTCATATGTGGTATAAGGTAGGAATTGAACTTCATTCTTTTGCATGTGGATATCCGGTTGTCCCAACACCATTTGTTGAAATGCTTACCCATTGAGGACTCTTGCCAAAAACCAGTTGATCGTAAATATAATGGCTTATTTCTGAACTGTCAGTTCTGTTCCATGGATCTATTCTTTTTTTTTTTTTTTAAGTCTGTTCTTAACCAATATCACACTATCTTGATTACTGAGCTTTGTAGTAGGTTTTGAACTTGGGAAGAGTGATTCCTCCAACTATGCTCTTCTGTTTCAAAACCATCTTAACTATCCCTTGCATTTGAATTTAAGGATCACCCTGTCAACTTCTACAAAGAAGTCAGCTGACATTTTGATGGAGATTGCATTAAATCTGTAGATCAGTTTGAAGAGTACTGCCATCTTATCTGTCCTTTCATGTCTTTTCCATTCATTTAGACCTTCTTTAATTTCTTCCAACAATGTTTTTTAGGTTTCAGAGTATAAAATTTACACTAACCTTGTTAATTTTATTGTAAGTTTTTGGTGGTATGTTAAATGGATTTTTCCATTAATTTCATTTTTGGATTGTTAATTACAAGTATAAAGAAATACAATAGATTTTTGTATACTTACCTTATATCCTGCAACTTTGCTAAAAGATACGTAACTTTTAAGCTAAAAAAAGTAATATTGAGCTTTCATTCTAAAAGTTAGAGATCATAATTTGACCCATAACAAAGTAGGTATACTGTTATGTCGTAAATCTTTTCTAGTAATATGGGCGAAAGTTAGCTCCAGTTTTCTCACTTTCATGTCAGTTGATGTTATAATGTTTTTAGGTTCTTATTTGGACTCATACCCACCAAAAGAGTTGTATAAATTGAAAATGATTACAGCTTTGAGATAATAAGGGATCTGGCTTTATATCCTGGATTCAGTCCTAAGTATACTCAGAGTGATTTTAAGTGACCACTTTAGAAGAATTTTCATTCTGAACATTTTTATTTGTTATTAATTCATCCATGTTTTTGACCTGATTTATTTTCTTTGGTTTATTATATTTTATTTGGTTTATTCCTTCTGAATCTGCTTCTTTCATTCTTTTAAAATTTATTTTATTTAATTGATTTTTTATTTGCTTGTCTTTATCCAGTTGAGGTCCAAGTTGCAGGAGAAAAGAAACAATAGATAAACATATCAAAAGCACATACAGGGCTTGCTTTTGCCAATTTTGTCACTTTGTGTGACTGTACTTCTAACAGGTTTATGATGAATATCAATCAAGATCAAACACTGAATTTCAAATTCCACTGACACTCCAGTCTGGAGTAGATCAGGAAGAAGACAAGAGAGAGGTATGTAATGTTAATTGCTTTTGAACACTAGTATTTCTACTATAATAGTATGTATGAAATTGGGAAGGATTTACTGTGTTCTTACACATTAAGAACCAATACTACAAATTCCATGGATAAAGGAAAGAAGTTACTTGAGTCATTATAATATGTTGAACTTTTCTTTCAAACTTCTAGGATTTGGGATACCTTGATGTGAAATCAGATATCTGATCCTAGTGAATTTTTTCCATTAGTGTGCATTTGTCACAATAACTTAAAGGAAAGGTTTTATCTCATGACTTCCTTTTTTTTTTCCCTTCTCAATCTAAAGTTGGGTTAAGCCAACAGTTTTTTTTTTTAATTTAATTTTACTTTTTCAGTGTTCCAAGATTCGTTGTTTATGCACCACACCCAGTGCTCCATGTGATACGTGCCCTCCATAATACCCACCACCAGGCTCACCTAACTCCCACGCCCCTCCCCTCCAAAACCCTCAGAATGTTTCTCAGAGTCCACAGTCTCTCATGATTCATTTCCCCCTCCAATTTCCCCCAATTCACTTTTCCTTTCCTTCCCCTAATGTCCTCGGTGTTACTCCTTATGCTTCACAAGTAAGTGAAACCATATCATAATTGGCTCTCTCTGCTTGACTTATTTCACTCAGCATAATCTCCTCCAGTCCCATGCATGTTGATACAAAAGTTGGGTATTCATCCTTTCTGATGAAGGCATAATAATCCATTGTATACAGTTTTTAACACTGACGATGTGCCAGAATCAGATGCGGAACTTTTTTCAAAATGTAAATACCTGAACCCAAACAGATATACTGATCAGTATATTGAAAGGTAGGTTTGGGGAATCTGTGTTTTTAAAAAAATTACCACTGATGCTTGTGATGGCCTCAATATTAAGAACCAGCTATTAGACTTTTAATAATTTTTACCAAAAGGATATAAGCTACTCAAGGGGCAAAAACATGTCCATGTGTACATTAGTGCCCTTTAAGTAGCTTTTGTCCTTAAAAGAGAATATATAAACCCAGAGCATAAACCCAAAGGGCAATAACACTTGCTTTTTTTAAAAATTTTTAATTTTTTTATAAACATATAATGTATTATTAGCCCCAGGGGTACAGGTCTGTGACTCACTTCACAGCACTCACCATAGCACATACCCTCCCCAATGTCCATAACCCCACCACCCTCTCCCTACCCCCCTCCTTCCAGCCCCCCTCAGTTTGTTTTGTGACTTTAAGAGTCTCTTATGATTTGTCTCCCTCCCAATGCCATCTTGTTTCATTTATTCTTTTCCTATCCCCCAAACCCCCCACATTGCATCTCCACTTCCTCATATCAGGGAGATCATATGATAGTTGTCTTTCTCTGATTGACTTATTTCGCTAAGCATAATACCCTCTAGTTCCATCCACGTTGTCGCAAATGGCAAGATTTCATTTCTTTTGATGGAATACTATGCAGCCATCAAAAGAAATGAAATCTTGCCATT